GCACATGAAGCAACAGCAAGTATATGATCAAAAAGCAGCAGATCAGGTCCATCAGGATCATTTGCTGCCAAATATGGAAGTGGCAGGGAACCTTTCCCCATAGGGTTTGCCAAGGTCACCCTTTTAGAGTCACCTCCTGCATGCGGTAATAACATATGCCTCTTGGCCAAGAAGCTAACCATTGGCAGGTCAGAAACCTGATTCTTGGATATTTCATGCTCCATGGAAGATCCAGAACTGCTACCATTTTCACTCAGAACCTGTTGATCATGTCTACCCCATCAAAGTGAGTGATTGAAGAGTTGACCAACAGCATACCAACACAGATTACAAATAATGCACAAGTGCTGCAGCAAGAAGGGCAACCGTGAAGCCAATGGTCTCCTAAGTCCTAACAAAATAAAAGAAAGATGGCCCAAAAAAAAAGACACAAAATAAAGGAGAGGAGGATGGGAGAAAAAGAAAACAAAGTAACTAATGAATCGTATTATTATATCAAAGTTTCCAACTTTTACAGTTTCTGGAATTTCCAACATCAAGGAAACTGTAGTTTCAAATTATGCAAACGCTCAATTTGTAAACATATTTTATGCAAAATGGTGCACCCATAAATCAAAAGGCAGAATCTTGTCGATGCAACTAGGGACCAACTGAATGAAGATCCATTCTTCTTTGTTGAATAACAGTATTAGGATTTCATATAATGCAAAGATTTCAACTGCACTTCCATGACAACCCCCTTTAACATTACAGTTTTAGTATAAAAAGTAGTCACAATTTGATGACTGAATTACCTCTAACCCAAGATTGAAACCAAGCTTCTCGTAACGCCTGGCGAGGGAGTGAATGGTATTGAGCGTTGCGGCTCCGGAGCCGATCCGTTGTCCATCTGGGTCAGGCACGACGATAGTGACGGTTGAGGAGGCAATTCGGCCCATCCGCTTGGCTCGCTTGAGCGGCCACTCGTAAAGCCCGCGCTTGCTCGGGGCTAGCCGCGGTTAGCACGATGGCATCCCACGTGGGAACCCTAGCAGGAAGCCTCACCGACAGTCTCAGATGGTACCATGATTTCCGCAGGATTGCCGCTAAGCCAGGTCTCTGTCTCGTTCTTGAAACTCTTTCGGGTTCCTTGTCGTCGGTGCTCCGTTGGAAGTGAAGGGGGGAATCGGGAAACTGAGAGATGGGAGATTGGCAAACGAGTGGAGTCAGGAGTGTGCAGGCTTAGACAGTGGGAGCAGACCAAAAGGGAGACAAGATGGACAATGATTGAATAACTACCAAGTGTTTTCACCAAAGAAGTGGGCGTGGGTAAAAAAATACGGTACTTTCAGGCCGCCGTGCTCCTCCGGTATGTTCTCGGAAGTCGGAAGCACGGTCAGCGAAAAGTGGAAATATGAATTATTGGCGTCGCCCGGACTCGAACCGGAGACCTTCAGTGTGTTAGACTGACGTGATAACCAACTACACCACGACACCTTGTTTGCCTTTCCTTTACTTTTCAATATATTATTCAAATTATCATAAACAGGAAATTCAACCACCGTGGCTTCGCCCCGACTGCAACGTAATAACTGCTTTTAATCATTTATTTTAATAAATTTATAAATTTTATCTTTTTATCTTATATTATATTATTTTCACCTATTATTTTTAGGAATAAAAGAAAATAACTTATTATCTTTAAGAATAAAAAAAAAATCTTATTTAATATTAATTTATAATATTTATTAATTAAATATTAATTTTTTGTTAATTTTATTTTTACCACCGTTAACAACTTATCAATTAATTATTAATAAAATATTAACAGTTAACTAATAAATATTATAATTTTACATTAAGTAATTTTTTTTTAATTTATATAAATAAATAATTAAAAATATCATAATATAAATTAAAAAATTAAAATTTACGCACATTAAAATAAAAAAAAAAACTAAAAATAAGTTTCTACAGGCTGCAACTAGAGATTTTTAGTGTGTTACGACTGACATGATAACCATCTGCATCACGACAGCGACTTTTCTTCTATTT